AGGTATTGTCCTGATGCATTACTGAGATGCATCAGGACAATACCTAAATCCAATTATAAAACTAAACAATAACTAAGTTTGATCATAACACTAATAAGTAAACAAACCATATACATTTAAAATTATAACTATTTCAAACAGAACAGCCTCTTGTCATCATAATTATGGAGTGTGGTTTATTTTCAACTCACTATCTTCAAACTAATGAAACATAAAGTTCTTAGTGAATAAAATCAGTCTGAATAACAGCAGACTGACTGCACATAAAATATACCACAGGTCTGGATCAGATACAAATTTTGTTTGCATCTGAAAAAAATCTTTCAATACAACTAAATTGGTGAATGCCATAACGCCTCCTAAACTAGTTGTACGCACAACTGAAGAACAAGTCTGTTCCCAACAGTTCTTGCATGAGACCCATTATGTGCACAGATCACAGGGCTCATAACAAACAGATTAAGTTGTGTAAGTTTTCAGGGGCCTCATGTGCCTCGGTGCGTACGCACAAAAAMGTTGCGTGCTCCAGGTTCTATGTCCACGTTGGGATGTATCAAAACCAACATTGTGTGAAAGTGTGGGTAAATATACGCACACTTTCACCTGCTGTGAGAATGTGCAGCAGACACGCAAAGTTTTTAGTTGACAGTTTTAACTCACAAAGTCATGAATCTGAGCTGAATCCACAGAAATATGACTGTGTTGTGTTTTCTGGATGTAAGGAGCGTCTGAACAGCTCAGCTGTGATGATTCCTCAGCTCCACAACATGCACACAATAGATTTGTTGCTGCGTAAAGTTGTGCGTAATTCATGGATCAATGTCAGATGTTCTGCAGGCTGATATCAGCACAAGAACTGAGGACGGTTAGGTTAGGATCTCTAACCCTAACCTAAACTAACCTAACCTGTGTTTTGGTTGTATCACACTGAACAAATGACAATCATGGATTTTACTGTAGTTCTGAGCTGAGCCATGCAGCTGAATGAGAGACTTCATGATTGTAAAATATAAATCACAGCTTAGAACTCTAACTCTAACTCTAACTCTAACTGCAGCAGAAACTCTGCGACTCGTTTCTTCACATCAAAYWTTTAATAAAAATGTTTCTAGGTTTTACAAACTCATCAGTTCCTCTGTGTTTACAGTCATTTATTAAAGATGTGGAAATGTCTCGCAGCCTCATGCGCCGCTGAAGACAGCAACACACACACACACACACACACACACACACACACACACACAC